TAAATGGGGATTATTTAAAAAAAGTTAGAGCATAGAGTTTTCTGTTAACCCGATTACAATTTAAATTTTAGCAATTTTGAAGTAAGTCCCTCACCCTTTTCAACCCGAAATTCACCGTTCGCAACTCACGCAGGAATACGTGACTTCTGGCCTTGACTGGCGGCCACTTGATCCTCTGGATTCAGGACTCTCAAGTGGCAGAATGCTAACACGTAGGACGACGCATTAATTGGCGACTGCTGGCCAACTTATCTCTGTCTATCCAGGACCTTTTTCGGCTTTGCATGCTCACATTTCCTTCCTGTCGCAGTGCCAAATGAAATTTGCAGCGCAATGGGAAGTGAAAAAAAGAAAGAAAACCCCGGGAAAAGCAGAGTGCAACACATGGATGTGTGAGCTAGTCAGACTCCTTGGGGCGCATCCTGTTGATCCTTGAGCACATAAGAGCGTCCTGCCATGCCGGATGTCTCTGGGTAATTTAGATAGCTGCAGTTCTTGTTGCTGCCGCTCAAAGTTGCATAATGTCAGTTGGAAAGTGTCGCTGTGTCGCAGAGTCGCAGGGCAAAGGACATGCGAGAACCCACAGGACATGCAGACATCTTAAAGCTGCGATAAGCCCGCAACGATTTTTTATGAAATTCCTAAGACTGCAGTCGAGCAGAAGCTGTTTGCTTACAGCTCCCTGCTTTTGCTCTCCTTCCATTCTTTCTTGTTTTTTTTAATGCGACTGTGTATGCCCGAAGGATTTGTGCGTAATGAAAAACTGTCACGAAGGGCGAGGGATGAGCCTAAGCCATTCCTCCTTTCGCCTTTCGCATTCCGCAGGTATGTGTGGCGAACGAGAAATTGAAAAGCGCTAGCCGAGTTCCGGAGGAGCATTAAAATGGCAAATTTGCGACCAGGACTCGGGACAGGACATTTATGGCCGACAGACGGCGACGACAGGGACATAAAAACGGCGACGCCTGCGTGATAAGCGCATAAATCAGCCAAAGGACGAAGCTATTGGTATATAGGTGTTCCTTTCCCTTCCCCAAAAGCCGATAGCTTAACCCAAGACGTAACTCCCCGTGTAGACACTTTTTAATACGGCTTGATACCTCAACTGCGGTCTGGGGTTACTTGAGTAATTCATTCCCCAGTTAATTGCGACTTAAGACTGCAGGGAGTTTGGAGAAAATAAACTTGTTTATTACTCGAGTGGTAGAACCAAAAAAAACTCATAATAAATACCTTTAAGAAATGTTAATCTCACAATTAATTAAGTAATTCTATTAAGGTACCAAATATAAAAACCTCTCAATATATATCACTTAAGACTGTAAAACAGCGGTCGGCACACAAATACGTTGACATTTTGTTTTTTATTTGTGTGAGTAATTTGCACTGGGCAGCTCATCGATGTGTGTGTGCAGACCGCTGTTCTACGTTATACATGTGCGAGCAGCGCGCCGGCAGAACAAAACCCTATGCTCACTTAATAGGGCGCTGCCGACCGCTGCTGTAAAATATAGACAGTACAACATCTGTTGAAATTATATTCATATTTATATTCATATAGCAATATTAAAAATATTATAATGAATAAATGCAGATAATATTCAAAATAATTAATAATTTTCCATATAAGGACCCTTACTGTAACAGCAATCACCGTCCTCGAGAATTATATGCGCCATAACCAAAACGCGAGCGGAATCGGTTATACCCAAAAGGACAAAAGCGAAGGACATTCCACTGAGCTCATTGCTTATGCTCGAACACGGAGCAAATTCAAATTACAAATTATGTTTTCGTCATTGACCCGAGCTTTACGAGAGTTTCCGCCCCCCTGGAATCCCCCAGTATCTTCAGGGTATCTCGTATCCGATGGTCAATGTCCGCGCGGTGTCAACTATTTAGTTTCCGGTTTTAACTTGCGCCATAAAGCGGGCGTTATGTGTCCGCTTTTATGGCTTCTAGCGACGTCCCGGCTTCATTGTTTCTTAATAATCCGACGAGCGTCTTCGGAGTGCACACGTCCTCGCATTAAGGATGTTTATGGGCCAGACACTGTTTCCACTGGGGGGTGGTGACCCCGACATCCACCGCCCCCCTTAGCTCCACCGCCCGTTGCATGCCACACATACTTCCGCTGCGTTGCAGTCATAAATGCGCTTAATTGGCAATTTTTGTGTAAGCGTGTTGAAATTTTTACACCCCACCCGACTCAACCGACTCGAGCGACTCCACCGAAAGTTGCAGTCATAAATAGGAAATATGTTCCTGGAGTGCCAGCTCCGTTCTCAGGGGTCGGGGTCTCCGCTTTTATGGGTCATGCATGAATTTGCCCGGATTTATATGCGGGCTACATGACCTGGATTCTTATGGGCCACAACCAGAACCATTCGTTTGGCTAATCAAAAGATATTTCGGCAGCCGCATAGCAGGAGTTCCTCGGCCACAAATGGACATTATCTTTTTAATACTGGCAGCGATTTATTTTATTATTCACAAACATTTTAGCTCTGCACTGGGATTGCCCTAGAAAGGTGAGAAAGTGGCCCTAAATAAAACCCAAAATATGTACCTTTATTCCAAATAGTATATTAATCATCAGAGCTATTATGAAGATATACGGAATCTAGAAACAGTATCATATTAAAATGGAAAATATAAATAAATATTATAAACATTATTTCCGTTTTTGGATATAAGCAAAAAAAAACCATATCGTTAAAAAAATGTACCATTTAGCATTCATTGACGTTACTTACTTTTTGTCATTTTATTTTTAATGGATGTTATATTTTATATAAAAGTTTAAATGGGGCAGAGTTCACACTGGTCACGCTTCGAACAGCATGCAATTCAAGAGGCCAATAAATCGCCACCAGCAGCCGATATCAGAGGAATGCACTATCCAATTGTTTACTTATTTTCAGTAATTAAAATTAGCTGGAAGTCAGTACGTCTACCCTGCACTAAGATAAGATGTCTTAATCGCGATTTAATCAACTCAATATATGACGACGTACCGCCTTAGGGGGCGATAATAGTGGCGAATCTCGTATATAAGCAGCTACATTAACACTCTTCCAGTCAGAGTGAAACTTAGCTTCCATCTAGAATCAACACTACAATGTTCCTGGCCAAGAGTCTCGTTTGCCTCGCCCTTCTGGCGGTGGTCAACGCCCAGTTCGACACCAACTACGCCTCTGGTCGCAGTGGGATGGTCCACCTCTTCGAGTGGAAGTGGGACGACATCGCCACGGAGTGCGAGAACTTCCTGGGACCCAATGGCTTTGCCGGAGTGCAGGTGAGGATTCTATACCCTCTTCTCTAGAAGAAAAAGACTCTACCCCTACTCCCAATAGGTCTCCCCTGTCAACGAGAACGCCGTGAAGGACAGCCGCCCCTGGTGGGAGCGCTACCAGCCCATCTCCTACAAGCTGGTCACCCGCTCCGGAAACGAGGAGCAGTTCGCCAGCATGGTCAGGCGCTGCAACTCCGCCGGAGTGCGCATCTACGTGGACGTGGTCTTCAACCACATGGCCGCCGACGGAGGCACCTACGGAACGGGGGGCAGCACCGCCAGCCCCAGCAGCAAGAGCTACCCCGGAGTGCCCTACTCCTCGCTGGACTTCAACCCCACCTGCGCCATCAGCAACTACAACGACGCCAACCAGGTGCGCAACTGCGAGCTGGTGGGTCTGCGGGACCTCAACCAGGGCAACAGCTACGTCCAGGACAAGGTGGTGGAGTTCCTGGACCACCTGATCGACCTGGGAGTGGCCGGGTTCCGCGTGGACGCCGCCAAGCACATGTGGCCCGCAGACCTGGGCGTCATCTACGGCAGGCTGAAGAACCTGAACACCGACCACGGATTCAGCTCGGGAGCCAAGGCCTACATCGTCCAGGAGGTGATCGACATGGGCGGCGAGGCCATCAGCAAGAGCGAGTACACCGGCCTGGGCGCCATCACCGAGTTCCGCCACTCCGACTCCATCGGCAAGGCCTTCCGCGGCAAGGACCAGCTGCGCTACCTGACCAACTGGGGCACCGCCTGGGGCTTCGCTGCCTCCGACCGCTCCCTGGTCTTCGTGGACAACCACGACAACCAGCGAGGACACGGGGCCGGAGGCGCCGACGTGCTCACCTACAAGGTGCCCAAGCAGTACAAGATGGCCTCCGCCTTCATGCTGGCCCACCCCTTCGGCACCCCCCGCGTGATGTCCTCCTTCTCCTTCACCGACACCGACCAGGGTCCGCCCACCACCGACGGCCACAACATCGCCTCGCCCTCCTTCAACTGCGACAACTCCTGCAGCGGAGGATGGGTGTGCGAGCACAGGTGGCGCCAGATCTACAGCATGGTGGCCTTCAGGAACACCGTGGGCTCCGACTCCATCCAGAACTGGTGGGACAACGGCAGCAACCAGATCTCCTTCAGCCGCGGCAGCAAGGGATTCGTGGCCTTCAACAACGACAACTACGACCTGAACAGCTCCCTGCAGACCGGACTGCCCGCGGGCACCTACTGCGACGTCATCTCCGGCGCCAAGAGCGGCTCCTCCTGCACCGGGAAGAGCGTCTCCGTGGGATCCGACGGACGGGCCAGTGTCTACATCGGCAGCTCTGAGGACGACGGAGTGCTGGCCATCCACGTCAACGCCAAGTTGTAAACAAGGGGCTTGGGGAGCGAGATTGCCCAGTCAGTCAATTGAGATTATTAACTTTACAAAATATATACGATGAGATTATTAACACTCGAGTCTTTTGAATTCTAAGCATGACTAGATGATTGGTAGCGATAAGGAATATTTGCGGGAGTCGTAATGATGTCATAGCAAGTTGAGAGATATAATTTTTATGAAAAGCTGTAAATCTTCGAAATGTATAAAAACAAACACTTCAGATTTCAGGAGGTATTACGAAGAATACCATATATTCACTTTTTCCGAAAAACGAGTACCAAGAATTTATTTTTGCACCCAACGAGGCGAGAAAGTGACAGAATAGAGAGGTGGCATTCATGATTATAATATCCGGCTGGGCTGCCTCCTCCCCTCGGTATTTATCACCATTTGCAGCCTGGTCACCACGGGCACAATCATCTGGAGGCCCAGGTGCTGCTCCACCGTCTGGGCGATCTCTTCGTGGAGAGCCTTCTCCAAGGACTCGCTGATATTGCGCTTCTCCACAATATCCACCTGCGGCACTTGCAGAGGATATTTCGATGGACAGGTGAAGACCAACTGGAGGGCAGAGCCTCCTTGCTCCCCCGCTCCCACATTGGCTCCATCTTCGTAGTTTTTCGTGGACAGCGGAACTTTCACCTGCAACCTTGGGCGACGGGACAAAACCAGGTAAGCCAGCCCCAAATAGTGCATAGTTCGCACCTCATTTTCCTGTAAATCCGCAAAAAATCTGGCCGTCCTTTCAGCGTCCCACTCATTCGAGGGCTCCCGTTTCTTAACTCCTCCTCGCTCCCTGTGCGCCATCCTTCGGTAATTTTGAATTTTGCCTATTTCTTTTTGGAATTTTCCTGCTTTCCCCCTGGTTCCTGTCTTTCTCCAACCGAAAATTATGTGAAATGTAATGCCAGGCCATCTCGTAAGCCGAGATTTGCATAGTCCCATCGAGCAATAACAGATGGATGCGATGGAACTGAAGGCTTTCATAAGATTTGAGATCTCTGGGTGGTGGGGAAAAACTCTGGGTTAGCCTGCGGTGAAGTTTGAATGCCCTTATAAAAATACAGGAACATTACAAAATAAGACAATTGTTATAATAATTGTAAAAAAATAAATAAACAAATAAAAATGTATTTATTTATTAAATTGATTTCCCAAAAATAAAAATAAATATAAATCCTAAACATCCCCCTTTCTTATAGAGCATCAATAATATAGAAAGTACCAGTATATGTACCACGAATATGCTCACATTAAAACTCTAGCCGCAAATTGAGTTTGTTCGTTTGGCTGATTTGATTAGCCTAGATTTGCTGGTCTCAGTGCTATGCAAATTAGTTTTGTGATTATCGCGGAAATTGGCAAACAGAAAAGGCGGCACACGACTGAAACACCACCCCCGTCCCCCTGGAAAAACCGCCACCCCTTAATAGTTTTCAGCTTCAGACGTGCGTGCGGATTTTCTCTTTGGTCGCCGGTTCGCCTTTGGCACTTGGGAAATCTTCCACGCATATGAGTAACATTTTTATTAGCCCAGGCGAAATTTGCATTTTAGAGCAGTTTCGGTCACGTGAGGCGCTTTGATTAGGCCACATGTGCCCTTGGCTTGGGTTTTCCATTTCCATTTCCTTTGATTTCACACACCAACGCCCCTGCCGTTAGTGGTATTTTCCTAATGAGAGATGATGAACGAGCGATGCTTTCACCTCGATGTCAATCAGGTTTCAATAAAGCAGCCAGCCAGTCTCAATCTTCATTAGAAGAAGCCATCCGAAGGGAGATTGATGTAAAAACCCTACCTAACCCTACATCGAACTCACTCAAACATGTTGCATTGCCCCTACAACGGAGCCGAGTGTCCTCGCTTTCCACTCCCCATTTTCCGCCCGCTTTTCCGAGAGTCCTGTCGGCTCACTGGCGGTTGGTTGGCTCCTCCGCCGAGTTGGAAACGCCCCGGAACGTGACCAAATCGCATTCGGGGCGTGCACCCCGAATAATCAGGAAAAACGGAAGTCTGACTCCTTTGGAAAGCCCCTCTCCTTCTCTTCAAAAGAATTGCAGATTTTTCCTCAATCTTGTATTGACTTTTCCGCACTGCCTGTTGGGATTCGAGGACCTCCATTGGCTGTATGTGTGTGTGAGTTAGGGTTCCTTGTGCTTTGTTTTTGAGAGTTTCCAATTCCTGTCGCTGTTGTGAAAAGTTTCTCAAGCACTTGTTTACGATTTCAAGTGCATTTTCCCGGGGAGGGGGATGGTCTATCATAATTTGGGCTGCAGTCTGCGCCCATCGATTGCGACGATCTCTGTGGGAAGTGTGAAAAGTTTTCCACTTTACCACAACTCAACGGCAAATCTCAGCTGGCAAGTTCTTTGGTTATGCTAATGAGGCAAACTTTGGCCACTCCGATCGTTGGCAAGTCTATAACACTGGTCGACAAAAAAAAAGCCCAAGAATAAAAGCTACCAAACCTGAAAGGATTTTAGCTGTAGATTACTACCTCATACTTGGAAACTTTCTATCACGTCGAAGTTTTGAGAAATCCGTGGTCAAAGTTCCAAATTTTCGATTTTTAGGCACTTTTTGCGACTTAATAGTAAGAAAGCCCTTCGCAGCCCAGAGCCACAATTTAGCGGAAAAATTACTTTGAACCTTTAACTTCAAGATTGTCCAATCACAAAGTTGGGCGACCTCTACTTCTTTAGCTACAAAGGATTTTACTGAAGTACTTTTTGTCACTTTTTTTCATCTATAGTAGCCTGATATTTTTAATGTATTGTATGTGTACGGGTCTCAGTTCAACAAGGAAAATATCAGGCTACTATAGATGAAAAAAAGTGACAAAAAGTACTTCTGTAAAATTGATTGTAGCTAAAGAAATAGAGGTCGCCCAGCTTTGTGATTGGACACTCTTGAAGTTAAAGGTTCAAGGTACCAGTTCCTCTAAATTGTGGCTCTGGGCTACGAAAGGTTTTTTTACTATTAAGCCGCCAAAAGTGCCTAAAAATCGAAAATTTGGAACTTTGACCACGGATTTCTAAAAACTTCGACGTGTTGGAAAGTTTCCAAGGATGAGGTAGTAATCTACAGCTAACATTCTTTCAGGTTTTGTAGCGTTTATTCTTGGGCCAAGAAAAAGTCTTGATTTTGTCGACCTGTGTAATTGAAAGTTCTGTCTGTTTTCTTGGTTGACTGAAGTTGGTAGTGCCCTGCGTATGGTACAAGGTCACTCGTGGGGACCCCACCCATCCAAAGACACACCCTGTGTCGAACAAGCAAATCATATTTGCAGATAAGATATCATCTTCCGCCGAAGGTTATAAGAGGCCCACGGAGCATCGATGGCTGAGCAAAAAGCTCAGAGCTTGGCAGTATGAGGTACTCGACCTTGCTAATTCTGGGTCTTATTTTGGCCCTGGCCCTCGGAGGCGAGGCCAAGTCCAAGTCCAAGAAGCAGAAGAACAAGCAGAAGGCCGAGACGATCCTGCCCCTCGCCGAACCCTGCAAACCAGCGAATTGCAAACTTCCCGATTGCCGCTGCTCCGATGCCATCCTACCCAGATCCAAGTTTCAGGGCAAGGAAAACGAGATCCCTCAGGTGAAAATTTAATTGTAAGGTCTACTGTCATTAAAGTAAAACATAAACTTGATTCCGAAAATTAAGTAATCTACATCCAAATTAAAAGTGTTAAACTATACTAGATGTATAAGTAGCATTAATTTTATTTAAAATATTATAATTATTATATTATATTTTGTAGTTTCTTTTCTATGCCGAAAGTTTCAATTTAATACTTTTGAATTTATTAATTTAATACTCATCATCTTATTAATTAAAATTCGACACTCAATAGTGAATAATTCATGTAACAATAGTTTCGTTTCTATGACTATGTTTTTTTTGGGTTTATTAATCTTTGCCTAAGAAGTATTATAATTTATGAGACATTCTTAGCTTCTCATTGCAATATTTGATTTTTAATATGGATAATAAATGTTTAAATATTTATTAAGCTAAAACTTTTCTTTATAGATAGGGTTAGGTTAGATACCTATAAATTATTTTTTTTTTGTTATATGTTTTTCCAGTTCGTGACCATTACTTTCGATGATGCTGTCAATGCAGTGAACTACGCCCAGTACGAGCTGCTTTTCGAGGGACTGACCAATCCGGATGGCTGCGAGGCCGCTGGGACTTTCTTTTTGTCCCACGAGTACACGGATTACGTGAAGGTGAATGCTCTCTATAGGGCGGGACACGAGATTGCCCTGCATTCGGTGACCCATGGCGATGGCACCGACTACTGGCGATCGGCGGATGTGGCCACCGTGGAGCGAGAGTTTGGAGCCCAGCTGAAAATGCTGGAGGCCTTCGCCAAGGTGGATCCGAAAAAGGTGCAGGGAATGCGCCTGCCCTTCCTCCAGATTTCCGGCAATAATACCTTCGAGGCAGCCCGTCGTTTGGGCCTGAGCTACGACAGTTCCTGGCCAACGCAGCAGTTCAAGGATCCGGCCATGTGGCCCTACACCCTGGACTTCAAGTCCAAGCAGGACTGCCAGATAGGTCCCTGCCCAGAGGCCTCGATACCCGGCTTTTGGGTCAACCCCATGGTCACATGGACCGACACCGAGGGCTACAGCTGCTCCATGATCGATGCCTGTGTCTATCCGCCGGAGGACGATGTGGACGAGCTGTTCGACTGGATGCTGAAGAACTTCAATAGGCACTACCAGGGCAGCAGGGCGCCCTTCGGGATGTATCTGCATGCCGCTTGGTTCGCAAGGGGTCGCAACTACTTTGGCGCCTTCAAAAAGTGAGTACGATCATTTTTTACATTTAAACAAATTATAATCATTAATTTTTACGTAATTAATAATAAAAAGGAGAGTATGGAAAATAGCAATCGTAGGATTGCTAAAGGTAAAAAAGAAATGTGATAATAGTTTAAGAAATTTTTATAGAGACATTAGCTTTGTTTAAGCTTCAATCCATTACCATGTTCTTCGTGACTAAGAAATAAAGTTATTTTATTACGTAATTTTAATTGTACATTAGGTAACCGTAAAAACTGAAATTATATTGCTAATTGATTTTATAAGCTTTTATTATTTTACAAATATTATCCACCTTGAAAGTAACTGCAATTTTATTTTAACACATAAAGAGGAATGTTAAATTTCCATAGCTATGACTGTCATTTAGCTAAAAATGTGTGAAATTTCTTCCACCAGATTCATTAACCACCTAAACACCTATACGGATGTGTATTTTACCGGCATTTCGCGGATGCTGGAGTATGTGAAGAAGCCCGTGCTGGGCGCTCCATTCAAGGAGTGTCCCGCGCTGCCGGAGGCGGAGTGTCGAGCGGTCCAGTGCCATGTCCAAAAGATGTCCACCGGCGAGGAGCGCTACATGACCGTGTGCGACAAGTGCCCCGCCGTCTATCCCTGGCTGGACAATCCTCTAGGACAGCAGCTGTAGACCCACCAGCCTTTTGCCCCACAAAGAGCGTACACGGAAAACAATAAAAAGGAGTTTTGCATAACGAAACACTTGTGCCTTTTAAATTTATTACTATGGTTAAAGTATTCTACCATTCATATCACAAGGATTTCTCAGGAATTTTCCCTAAGTGTACTATATAATGAAGCTGCCATGTTTTTTGAAGGCCAACAGTTGACATTTCCCATCTCTAAGCCAAATTTACATGCACCGCGCATCAACCGACATCGCTGATAAATGAGCTCAAATTATGTTTCTGGCCGTGAGACGCTTAATTAACTCATTCAGCGAAGCAGAGCCCCCGAGTGTAGTCATATTTCATGGCCTCCTCGTGAATTAATGCGCCAACTTCCGGAGACCTGTCCACATTCCCCATACATGGAGTGGAGTCCTGTGTGTCCTTTTGGGGTCCTGTCAATGCAGCTGCTACCTGTAAATGACGTTCGACCGTCTGGATCGTCGTCGGCCATCGGTTGCATTTTTGTTAATGGACCTCTAACTAATGACAGCCCCCGGGTTGCATATCAGTCAGCAGTGGTTGAGGATGAGGATGAGGCTGGGCATTCCCGGAAGAGGGGTTCTCCGCATTTTGCGGTTGCTGTCGCAAATTATGTATGCGGTTAGCCGAGCCACCTCGTCCCCGGGGTAAAGTTGGCTGCGAACGGAGGCGGGGCTTTTGACCAGGTTGGACATGGAAACGACCACAACATATTGGTTGATAGTTGACCAAGGAAAGGGGGGTCTCCTCCCTCTTACCACGAGTAGAATGTGCTAAAATACTTCTTAAAGGGGTTTGGTTTTCCTCTTCGTACAGGCATTTTCTTGGAGGGGGCTTTTGATGACTTAGCAGCCACTTACACCCAGAAAAATGATGGACAACATTTTAGGTCATGCATAGCCTAAAACATTTTAAATGGACTAAATGTTCCTTTTTAGGTCATGTACTGCCTAAAAATTTAAATTTTTGGTATATTTGCCCTACTATTTAGGTCCCGTATCGCCTAATATTTTAGGTCATCGTGGGCCTTAAAATTTATGCATTTTACCTAAATAAATTTGCACGGAACTCTGATACCTTTCTAGCGACGCTATAATTCCCAACCAGTTATAGCGCGGCTTGCATGGTAACCCACTTCGATCGTTGAATAAAACAGCGATTTCACTGCTAAACAGTGAAGCCTCTTCGCTCGTTTTTGTGTGTTGGAATAATGACGACTTCTTGAAGACTAAGCCGACATTGACCTCGAGTTAGCTATAAATTTCTCTGTATTTACTTTATAATATGAAACATTTTTCAGTACAAATTTTTAGGCCAAAGAAAGCCCAAAATTTTGGATAGGGGTTTTCTTATATTTTAAGGCAGCCAATTACCTAAAATCTAGGCCAAAAATTACCCCATTTTAGGCCATTAATGGCCTAACATTTTAGGTCATACAATCCTAAATTTTAGGCCATTCAAGGACTTAGCTCCAGTTTTAGGACAATTTTACCTAAATTCTAGGCCATTTTTTGACATGTTAGGTCATTTTTTTTTCTGGGTGTAGCAATAATGTTAGCTACAATATCAAACTGGGGCTTATTTAAGAGGAGGATTGTATAAAGAAGTATTTGGTTGACCTAAACTACACATTTTTTTAATAAAGAATAACTTATATAAATTTAGAAAAACATTTTAAAATTTTATTAAAAATATTCACAGTTTTTATAATAATATGAATTTTCAAAAAGGTTTTTTATGGATAATTACCATTGATCATAATCAAACTCTTTTATGTTACTGGTTAGTTCTACGAGTTTTTTATTTAAGATTACAGGTCTTAAATTAACATTATAGAATTCTTTAGTCACATACAATCGCTTTCTTCCAGTTTCACAATTTTGTGTGTTTTTAATTAGTATTCAATTCTATTTAATTTCATTATAACTCAAAACTAAGCTTGCTTATGGCAATGTTTGTTGGCCAGGACATATCCTAGCGGGCAGCCGGCCTGCAGAATGTTGTAAGTTTGCGCCTGCATCGTTCCATTAGAGCTCCACTTTTCTTCCAAATTTATTTTCACTGTTTCATTAAGGTCAGTTGCATTGAGTCCACCGGTCTTAGCCTCCACTATTTCGCTGTCTAAGGCAAAAGTTCCCAGTAGCAGACTGCTGATGAACAAGAGGCCCAAAAAGCCAAGGAAACCAGGGAAATATGCCATTATAAATTCCACTGAATCGTTGCCGCTGAAAAGATGAATCGAACTGAATCAAAATCACAATTTTCAGTTGGCCAAGTTAATTGTGAAAGTAGCTCATGACTTATAAGGCAACCGGATTGAAGGGCTCTTGAACACCAAAATTGGTTCGTTTTCGTTCGAAGGTTGAAAGTAAATCGGATCTGCTTTGATAGATTTCCATTTGCATTTCAGCGAAGGCAAACAATGCGGCAGACAGAAAAAATAACCTCGCTTTTATGAAAATGAAGAAAATGCTTGAGAAAATCGCAACAAAACAAAAAGTGGGCAAATATTTGCTGATTACTTTCCGAAACTTGCGCTGATTAACAGCAGAAACGCAGAGCCATTGTCCTTTCTGCCAGGACACTTCATTGCTCCGTAGAGCCCGCAACTACCAACCCCTCAATTAGAGACTTCTTTCTCCCTGTTTAGCATAAATTTCGCATGGCTGGGAAAAGGTGGCTGTCATAAACAAATGACTCTACGAGCCTTTTGGCCCTGCCTCAGCTGTCTGTGACCTAAACAGGCATTATTTTAATGTACTTTTGTATGTAGTACACGGCGCAAAAAAAGGTTCCAGTATTTAACCCCGAGTGTTGGGTGCGCCACCACTCTCACAGCCAAATGACATTTTTATGTTTCAATTTTTGTTTGCTCTTCTTTTTACTTCGCGAAAATTATGCCAACCACCCAGGCCATTTGATGATGATTATGATGAGGATGTGGGTGGTTGGTTCCAGAAAGGGAGCATGTATATCGTTCGCGGTGGCTGACAATAGAATTGTCAAAATTATTGGGCCAAATTGCTGACATTTATTAGGCAGGTTACGGCTCGGGCTCAGGTTACTTCCTAAAAAGGCACTTAGGGGATGAGATATGGCTTTTACATCGATCCTCGGGAAGCGCATCTGACAAGGGGAACATTTAGTAATGACAACCTCCAATCATAAAGGGAGTTCAGGATAAGAAAACCAAAATAACTTTGATTTTATACCTGATACATTTGAAATAATATCATCCTAACTTATTTTTCGCTGTCTGTATCTGGTCTACACCTGATTTTTTAACTCTGCACAAAAGCTCCATATTGTTTTGTGTTTTTTTTACTACTCGATGGCAATTCAACCGATTTGTGTTCCGAACTTCCAACCAAGAACCTCTCATAACCGCACTTTTAAAAAAGCCAGCTGTCAAAAAAAAAACAGTCAAGTATTTTTGTACAAAAAAAAATATATATATGGGCAATTCTCTGGGGATGTCAACCAAGCCAAAAAGCGTAAAACTTGAAAAAAACATATTTTTACATGATTTTGCACTGATATTTGATTCTAGTTAGATGGATCCTCAACTAAGCTAAGTAATATGAGTATCCTTGGATAATTTTACAGGGTAATACCGGTTATATGGACAAAAAAGTCATTTTTTGGTATTTTTTTAGTATTTTTTAAAGTGGCTCTTAAACGGTTTTTTTGACGTTAAGGTTGCAGAAAAACCACCTAAGAAAATGACGGAAAAAACTGTCGCGTGCGACATGTAGCGTGTGACAGTCACTTCGATACTAATAAAAAATTAACCACTCAATATTTTGAATTCAAACCAAATACATTTTAAAGAAGAAAGACCAAGGAACACTATGAAATTAACTGCATTAAAATATTCCTTCACGTTTCGTTACAATCGAAAGTTAGGCAGGAAGTCAAAAAAGTAACTTCTATTCGTGTCGCGTGCAAAAGTCTTGGTTTTTTTTATATATCTTAAAAATGAAAAATGTCCCAATGTCACCCCTAGCACATATTTTAGTGCTAATCAAGACCTTTAATTTGAGCCTAGTGCCAAAGGAAAAGAAGTACTGGAAGATAGTATTTTTCACCTGCAAAACGTACGAACGTCGCGTGCAACAGCAGAGAATTGCCCATATATAAAATATATTTTTTAGGTAGGCAATAAAATAATAACAATAATTAATTTTCTGAGAAAACAAAGTTCAAATTTAAAACTAAACACGAACCATCAAGACCCGTGAGGATGAATGTGTTGTCTACTATTCTACTGAGACTCGTGAAATTCATTGTTCAGATGATATTCGACTTCAATTCGAAATACACACAGCAATTTAATAATGGGAAATCGAGGACTTTGCTGGTCCAAGCTTCTGCTTTTGATTGTCTTGCTGAGCCTTGCTTTTTTTCTAAATTGTGCGAATATTTTAGTAGGTCGTTGTATGGAGGAAAGATATATGGAAAAGGACAAGTGCATGAAATGTCCGATCGGAACAACCCTTACCGTTAATTATCACTGCCGCAAGATGGCCTAGGAAAGGGGTGTTTGCTTTTATAAATCATTGTAATTCAAAAATTAATAAATATAATAAATAAATATGCTTATTTTACTGTCTTGTTTGTTTTTAATTCCTATCTGCGTAGGGGCTCCAAGAATCTGCATGGTGAGTTCCAACATTCTAGTTTTTATAGTTTTCCGAGATCTCAGCGTTCATAGGGACAGACATTTGCACGAATACAATATACCCTTTTACTCTACGAGAAACGGGTATAACTATGTGCTATAGTCATATGTATGTGTAAGCTTAGACATTAAATCAATTTAAAACCAGACACGAATGCTCAGACAGTCAGTTCTTAAAATTTGTACTGGTATTGGGTAATACGTGTTGCAGAATATAAGATTTACATTTTAGAAATCGCTATAAAGGCGGAAACTGCGGCCCCGACAAACAAATTCTACAGGGATTCTGGCGAGGGCTATCTTCTTTACTTGAGCTTTGATTAAAATAAAACAAACCTTTTTCAACCATGCTGATTAACCGACTTTCCTGTCCGAAGCTGCTGCTCTTTATTGTCTGGATGTTCGCGACATTGGATTGGAAGGCTGCCGGCGCTAAGAAATGTTTGAAGAGTATACCATGCCAAGTATGGAGGTATAACCCCGCGGGTGAGCTCGTGAAGAGTACTGTATATATATAGATTACTATATATACTAAGAAATTAAGGTGAAAGTAATAAAAGAAAGTATGAGAAATAAAAGCTGGGAAGAACGGTGGAGCCGAATGTATTTTAATGAAAATTGAAATACGTGTTATCCTAATCGAACCATCCATTCAAAATTAAAATTTTTGTAGGCGTTTAGGCCATTGTAAAATTTGTAAACGTAGAAATTTAAATAAATATAAATGACAGGTTAAATTGTATATAAGTGTTTAACAGCGAGTGAATTTTGTAGCAAGATATATTTGCCGAAAAACTATATAATATAGTTAAATGTATTAACATTAGCACTAAAAATTCTAAAGAATTTAATATAAAACTTTATTAAAATATTGTAAAATTTAAATCAATACACGAAAGCGCGGCCAATCAATTTGTTGAACTTGTGTTGGCATATAAAATACTCCGTGTGGTAGAATATTAGATGTGAAATTTAAGAAATCGCTATAGAGGCGAAAACTGCGACTCGTGGACTCAGTCTCTAGAGCGATATTGGCGAGTGGGAACGTGTCTACTTGCGCATCGCAATTTCACAATGCTGATTAACCGACTTTCCTGTCAGAAGCTTCTGCTCTTCATTGCCTGGATGTTCGTGGCATTGGACTGGAAAACTGCAGACGCTGTACGTTGTCCGCCGGGATATACCTTCAAAATTGACCACTGCCGCAAGAATGGAGGTATAACACCTCCATAAGAAATTAAGGTGAAGTAATAAAAGAAAGTATGAGAAATAAAAGCTGGGAAGAACGGTGGAGCCGAATGCATTTTAATGAAAATTAAAATTCGAGTTATCCTAATCGAACCATCCATTCAAAATAAAATTTTTGTAGGCGTTTAGGCCATTTCTAAAATAAGACCAAATAGTTTATTTGCCTTTGTATCGTTAATAGAGGAGTGGCACATTGATGAAACAGCCCTGCGTTCCGAATGTACCCCTAGAACCTGCATTCTCAATGCAAATCTTATATCTTTTAAAGTTTCTGAGATCACAGCGTTCAAATTTAAAATTTTTCTGCAAAACTATATACACCCAGAAAAATGATGGACAACATTTTAGGTCATGCATAGCCTAAAACATTTTAAATGGACTAAATGTTCCTTTTTAGGTCATGTACTGCCTAAAAATTTAAATTTTTGGTATATTTGCCCTACTATTTAGGTCCCGTATAGCCTAATATTTTAGGTCATCGTGGGCCTTAAAATTTATGCATTTTACCTAAATAAATTTGCACGGAACTCTGATACCTTTCTAGCGACGCTATAATTCCCAACCAGTTATAGCGCGGCTTGCATGGTAACCCACTTCGATCGTTGAATAAAACAGCGATTTCACTGCTAAACAGTGAAGCCTCTTCGCTCGTTTTTGTGTGTTGGAATAATGACGACTTCTTGAAGACTAAGCCGACATTGACCTCGAGTTAGCTATAAATTTCTCTGTATTTACTTTATAATATGAAACATTTTTCAGTACAAATTTTTAGGCCAAAGAAAGCCCAAAATTTTGGATAGGGGTTTTCTTATATTTTAAGGCAGCCAATTACCTAAAATCTAGGCCAAAAATTACCCCATTTTAGGCCATTAATGGCCTAACATTTTAGGTCATACAATCCTAAATTTTAGGCCATTCAAGGACTTAGCTCCAGTTTTAGGACAATTTTACCTAAATTCTAGGCCATTTTTTGACATGTTAGGTCATTTTTTTTTCTGGGTGTACTATAGTTAAATGTATAAACATTACCGTTAAAAATTCCAAAGAGCACTTGAAGTCGAAAATATATTAAAATATTGTAAAATTTTTAAACGTATAAATTTAAATAAATATAAATGACAGGTGGGGACCATGAGTTAAATTGTATATAAGTGTTTAACAGTGAGTGAATTTTGTAGCAAGATATATTTGCCGAAAAACTATATAATATAGTTAAATGTATTAACATTAGCATTAAAAATTCTAAAGAGCACTTTAATATAAAACATTATTAAAATATTGTAAAATTTCAATCAGTACACGAAAGCGCGACCAATCAATTTGTTGAACTTGTGTTGGCATATAATACTCCGTGTGGTAGAACATTAGATTTGAAATTTTGGAAATCGCTATAAAGGCGAGAACTGCGACTCGTGGACTCAGTCTCTAGAGCGATATTGGCGAGTGGGAACGTGTCTACTTGAGCTTCGATTACAAATAACCCAAAACGCAATTTCACAATGCTGATTAACCGACTTTCCTGTCAGAAGCTTCTGCTCTTCATTGCCTGGATGTTCGTGGCATTGGACTTGAAAACTGCAGACGCTGAAGTTTGTGCGCCGGGATATACCTTCCAAATTGGCCACTGCCACAAAAGAGCATAGGCAAAGCACTGGATAGTTAAATCTTAAAACTCTCATTGAATTAACTTAGTTTGCAACTGCTTTGAGAATGAAATAATAAATAAAATTTGTCTCCCAAGAATGTCTTATCAGGCTGCAAGTGAGCTAGCGAAAGCCCTTTGAACCCCGACTTATGTCTCTCAAAGTGCCTCCTAAGCTGAATCAGTTTTTGAATCAGAAACTGAGATTCAGGGACTTAGTCGCAAGTGCAATATTGGCGAGTGTAAACGTGTAAACTTGGTTTTCGATCGCAAGTACGCCAAACCAACTTTACGATGGCAATTCTGCGGCTGCTGCTGCTGTTCTTGCTTGTCTGGCTGTATCTGGCATTGAATCTAAATCAGGCGGCTCAAGTGCCCCGCGTCCAGTCCATTTCCACACTAAGGGAAGTGCATGGATTTGGAAATTCATCTAGAGGAACCACAAAAGTGAACGAGGTCCCGAATAATTCATCTATTCACCGAGGAATTTCTGTGATTGAAAGCCATTTCTCTACGGGATCCAACGGAAGCATAAATACGACATATTTTGATTTGTCGGATATAGGCTTTGAAATATGTGACAACAATTCCACAAAAAAAGAGTGTAAAAAGGGCGATTTCCACAGTCGGTCGGCTAATAATATAACAAGAAATCTGAGAAAAAATAGGTAATAATTAGAAAATAAAATATATAATTATCGTCTACACAAAACTTATTTTTGTAATCTCAAAAAAAAATTTAAATTATGTTAGTATCGTAATAATATGTAAAAGCAGGCACATACTTATGTAGTGGAAGATGGTCATTCCTTTACTAAGCGATTGTATGTCTTCATAAAAATAAGAAATAAATAAATAAATTTGAAAAATTTTAAATAAAGGAAATAGTCGATTACCTAGACTATCAGATACCCATTACTCAGCCAAAGGGAGCGCGTAAGAGATAGAGATGTGCAAGGAGCAAGGCAAGGAGCATTTCATTGTTTTCTTATAACTTTTTATTGAGTGGTCCTATTAAAAATGTATTTAAAAGTAATTTATTTTAAAATAGGCAATCGTATTTATAACTTTTTTGAACCAATTCTTTTCTATAAGACGTGGAAAATAAGATAATATTCGCGCGTCTTGTGACGGATAGCATTCAAATTGGTACGAGTACAATGAATGAGTAAAACCTGTTGTAAAATATCAGATGTTGCCTAGAAAGCGATCAATCGGGAGTGCAACCGATTCGCTTATTACTCAATTAATAATGTAATCCTTTTTCTCCCAAGAATGCCTTATCAGGCTGCCAGTAAGCCAGATAAAGCCCTTTGAACCCCGACTTTTGTCTCTCATAGTGGCTCCTAAGCTAAATCAGTTTCAATTTCCCATTAATTTTTAAATCGTTCCTATGGTAGCTATATAAGCTGATATAGTCGCCCGATTTTAATAAAATTAAGTTCGAAATTCGGTACAGTTCAGAAAATGTTATTCTTAAGCGTAGGAGGTTACATGTCAATTAACACCAAAGCTATAATTTGTTAAATTACTCTGTTGTATTTTTCCTGTAGAAGCTATAAGATATAGTTGTATTATAGTTGGACAGATATAGTTGATATAGTCGCCCGATTTTAATAAAATTAAGTTCGAAATTCGGTACAGTTCAGAAAATGTTATTCTTAAGCGTAGGAGGTTACATGTCAATTAACACCAAAGCTATAATTTGTTAAATTACTCTGTTGTATTTTTCCTGTAGAAGCTATAAGATATAGTTGTATTATAGTTGGACAGACAGACAGACAGACAGAGAGACAGACAGACCGACGGACGGACGGACAGACGGACGGACAGACAGACGGACGGACCGACGGACGGACGGACAGACGGACGGACAGTGGAAGTGCGAGTGAGATGTCGATAAGCAACCTATCGTTGTTAATTTGTTTGTTCATAACTTTTTATTGAATGGTCCTATTTGAAATAATTTTTGAATTATTAGCATTAACAGAAATAGCATTCGAATGAGTACTCAGTGGTGTAGGAAACAACCTGTTGTAAAGTATCAGATGCTGCCTTGAAAATTGATTATTCGCATTGGCGAGTGCAGTGGCTAGCTAGCGGTTATTCGACCGATTCGCTGATTATTCAGTTAATTATGTAAGCGGTTGCCATTTGGCTGCCTTTTCGCTCTTATCAGCGTGCAAACAAACTGGCACTCAATTGCCAGCAGGTTGTAGAACTAACAGCGCTACTGCCTCTCGGACCCCGACTTCTGTGGTGTCTCTGGTGTCTGCTGTGTCTCTCGAAGTGGATCCAAGACTGAATCAGAAATACTGAGACACTGGGCCGGAAACTGAGACTCAAGAGACTCAGTCTCGAGTGCGATATTGGCGAGTGTGAACGTGTTTACTTGGGCTTCGATTGCAAATACACAAAACCGACTTTACGATGGCAATTACGCGGCGGCTTCCCCGATCGAAGCTGCTGTTATTGTTTGCCTGGCTGTGTTTGGCATTGGATCTAAATCGTGCAGCTCGAGTGCCCAGCGATCAGTTTGTGTTTCCTTCTGACTCAAAGACCAATAATCCGCCCATCCGACTGGAGTCCAGACTCAGGGAAATCGAGCGACAAATGGAGGAGGTACCGAGAGCCACGAATGTCACCCTCTTGATGCCCAAGGAAAGCAAAAAGGGTTCGCCCCGGAATACGGGTAACGAAAATATCTCGCAGAAACCAGGAAATACTCCCAACAAAACCGGAAGCATAAGTGATCTTCCGAATAATTCAACCAAAGGGGAGATAGAAGTACCATCCCGTCAGGGAAACAAAACCCATCCCTCCAGCGAATCCAAGATGGTAACCTTCGTTAAAGAACCCGAATCGGATAAGCCAGCTCCTTGGGATCAAGCCACCCCAGCCACCATTGTCTCCGATCCCAAAGGCGTTATTATTGGACCGCGGATTGTCCTGGAAACCACAAAGATTTGTCCGGAGGGCACTACCCTCACCGTCAATGACCATTGCCGCAAGATTGCCTAGCATTTCTTCTAGATCTTCAATAAATAAATCTTAAAAGCAATGCACTGTGAAGCACCTGAGATTTAATAGGCTACAATTGAGTTTAAAGAAATTGTTTCCAGTCTTTAAACTTGTTTTTTGTCATTCTCTAATTTTTAAATGAAAAAATATTTTAAAAATTTCAAACCTTTTTTGCTCTTGTTTTTCAAATTTGCATTTTATTGAATGAAAAAATATTTTTCTTTTATTGGATGTTTAAATTTTTGTCAGTGTAGCCTAGTACGTATATATCTAAAAAGCTTGTTGCTCTTCTTCTGCTTTGTTTACGTTTTGTTTTTATGGGAGAGCGCGTGAGTGTTTCTCCCACTCGTGTTCCCCATCAGTTCGCAGCGATCTTTTATCTGGTTTTTTGGTGGGAATGGGAATGTGAATGGAAAGATGATCGCCAGTCAGTCGCCTCCACGCTCAGTCTTTGAAGCTTCTTCGTAGCAAACAAGCGCGCATCTCCCCGACAATGTCGATTCGCATTAACCCATTGGTGCTGTGCTTCCTGCCGGTGGTTTTCCTCCTTATCGAGGCAAGAACACGACCCGGAAACGACGATCGCATTGTGTTTCCCAAGGACAGCGATGAGGATGAACACCATTCGAAATTCACTTACCCGGTGGTTAACTCGACGACAACGACCACTGAGGAACCTCCGACCACAATTACAACGCTTTTGGAAATCACAAACTCTACAGAAGATATCTCTATTTCATCTGAGGAGCTGGTTAATGGAACCACCACAGAGATGCCCACCATAGACAATCGTATATTACTAGAGACCTCCGCAAAATGTAGACCCGGCTTTGAGTTGCATGCCAAACGCTGTCGAAAGCCGGCTTAGTCTTTAGTCTTTAAGATCGATGTTAGCCAATAAAGTGATATTTGAATAGAACTAATGATTGATTAATGGTCCGAGTCTTTTTTTGGGTGATTAGTCAACCCCTTTTTGGATGTCATACGGAAAAAATCCCCGTAGAAAACTATCAGCACAATGGTGGGAGAAACTCTGGGGGGAAACTGTATGCCTTGTAAAACAAAGTAATTATAGTTTGGAGCTCAGAACGGTGAGTCAGTATACATACATATAGCACAAACAACTTTCCGGTGCATTCAGCTGGGACTGCTATTCCCTTCTCTTTGGGGACTGTAATTCGATGCCTTATCTGATGTCATGAACCTGTCTTATCAGCGGCTCAAAATATATACTCACCATCCTCGGCTAGATCATCTTTTGCGTCGGGAGAACGGATCAGTCTGCTTCGAATATTCAACGCGCCTGGTGTATCGATCTCGAGTCGAAAATGTTTTCCCAACTCTTATCTTTGAGTTGGGCTGTGTCAATGATCTTGCTGATCAGTGGACAATGGACCGAAGCCCAGAATCCTTACTATGTGGAGAATGGCGGACTAGGCCACCAGTGAGTACAACACAATCTTTTTAAGATCAGAAACCTTTAAAAATAACTACTAAAAGAAGTCTAAATTGGAGTTAAAGAGCTTAAAAGAAAGTATGAATAAAATATAGCCATATAGTAGCACGTTTAATATTGTAAACTAGTTTAAAACTTGTACTTCTTATATAGAAATAAAGTAAGTGACCTAAAGAACCCTCTTTAATCAGAAATAAAAAATCTAATCTATTATTTTCGAATTGCCGTTTTGTCAACAAGCAACAATGTTTTCTTAAGATTATTATTAATTTATAATATATTCTTTACAATTTATTAATGATGATTTTTCTATTACTCAGGCACCACCATCGCCATCATGGTCATGGTTATCATGGACCACCGCCCAACGCCTTCGGTCGATTCCCTCCGCCTCCTCCACATTATCCAGATTATCAACAAGGTGGTGGTTATCCACCGTATTATCCATCTGGTGGTCCGATTCGAGGCTACCAACCTGGCGGTTATTTTGGAGGTCAGCAGCCTGGTAGGGATTTTAACAGGGGACAACCGGGATTCCAACAGCCGCCCGGTGGAGATTTTCCCAGGGGTCAGCCAGGTTTTCAGCAACCCGAAGGAGATTCTAACAGATGGCAACCTGGAGGCAAGGCACCGGGTTCCCAACAACCAGGCAGCAGTGAGGAGACACCCAGCTATCCTGGTGCCATACAGCCGAGACCTGGACAAAACCCAGGAGGATTCCGGCAGCCAGGCCAAAGCACTGGCGGATTCCAGCAGCCCGGTGACGGAGGAAATACTCTACAGCCGAGACCTGGGCAAAATGCAGGTGGTTTCCAACAGCCAGGCGGAAATTCAGGAGGATTCCGACAACCTGGTCAGAGCTCTGGAGGATTCCAGCAGCCAGGCCAAAACACTGGAGGATTTAGACAGCCAGGAAGCGGTGAAAATACTCTACAGCCCAGACCTGGTCAAAACTCAGGTGGATTCCAACAACCTGGACAAAACACTGGGGGATTCCAGCAGCCAGAGCAAAACATTGGTGGATTCCAACAGCCAAGACCTGGATCCCCTAATAATCCCATTCAACCACGACCTGGCAGCCAAGACGAGGACTTCTCTGAGTTCAACTTCCAGTCACCGAAAACTTTGCAGCCACGACCTGGTCAGGATCAAGAGATCGGAGGCTCTGGCGTCGGCAAGACCATCCAACCGATTCCGGGACAGCAACAGCCTTCATCCACTGATACTGTGGGCAACAACATCCAAGATCTATTCAGTACCCAGGACTTTCTGTCGCCCGAATTGAGTCAGGCACCTGGAGCCCACCGAGATCCCAAGTCGGAGGCTGAGGAAGTGAGGCCGCAGTCGACGGATCAGCGATCCCTGTTCGATCTGGATCCCAAATGCACGGAGGGAACCAAACTCATGGCGGGACGCTGCCGGAAGGAAGCCTAGGGGATGAGTAGGAAACGAATACCTGGAAATACTGAGATTGCTTTGTATGCAATTATACATTTAATGTTTTCATTGTGCCAATAAATCTGACATTATCAGTAATTAAAAAAACAAACCTTATTTTGGGGCAAATCTTTATATACATAGCTGATAAGGTTGTTTATGCAAGATTCGTAGTACAAGTGTTTCAGAGATTGCCAATGGGGAAGTAAAGTGACTTAAGTGTGTGAGCTTTGGCAACCAAAATGAGTCAGTGGATTACGTATTCCAGGGTAGCCGATATTAAGCATTGAAATATTTTTCAATTAGTAATTATGAATCAAATAAAAACACCTCTTAACGAGGTAAAAAACTAGTGACGATCGCACCTTCAACATACAAAAGTTCTGATATCAACATTAGTGACGAAAAATTATTACACTCGTCATTAAATAGACTTTCTAATATTTTTTCATTCGGCACGCTGCAATAGAAAATGCCTGTGAAGGGAAAAAGGCTGGAATAGTCTGCTAGGGCGGGCTGAATGAGAAAAGATTAGAAAGTCTATTTAATGACGAGTGTAATAATTTTTCGTCACAAATGTTGATATCAGAACTTTTGTATGTTGAAGGTGCGATCGTCACTAGTTTTTTACCTCGTTAAGAGGTGTTTTTATTTGATACAATAATAGCGAACAAAGCAATAATTTTCCGATCGTTCCTATGGCAGCTCATGCGCGGATCCACGGGGGGGTGATATGGGTGATATATCACATTCCACTTGGCTGAAAAATTAGAGGAATTTTCGTATTCAAAAAATAAGCAACAAAAAATGTTTTCTGATTTTCCTAGATCCGCCACTGTGGAAGCTATATTATATAGTCCTCCGATTTTGACAAAATTTAATTTGATATTCAGAATTAGCCCCACAGCTTTAAAACTGAGGGGCTAGTTTGCGTAAAAACGGGCGGACAGACGGACGAAACGAGTCGAATGAGAAAATATTAGAAAATGTATTTATGTTTTTTATCAGTGCAAGTTTTTTTAATTTGTTGCGACTTTAAATTTTTTTTAGTATCGATTAGTAATATATAATTTACCGGATCAATGTCAAATCTGGATTTTGTTATGGACCTTCAGTTAGTTCTCTCTTGAAGCTGAACAGTAACTGTCCAAAATGATGGAGTGGCTTACATCAACAATCAATAATTCGTATACACTTCCTTTTACTATTCCTAACCATCCTTTAATTCCAAATGTTTCAAGTACAACACTGGATTTCTCAGTGCCAACGCCTTTTGAACCAATAATAACTTCAATGTTTTTCCAAAATTCGACGAAATCATTCATGGGAACCACAGAAAACCCGACAGAAACAACAACTAAATCTACTACAAGAACGACACTAAAGTCTACAACCAAATCATTGAAATCAGATACATCAACCGAAAAATCTACAACAACCAAATCTACCTTGCAACAAAAACCAGGAACTTCAACAGAAAAGTCCACAACACACAAATCTGCCTTGAAATCTACTACAGGAGCATCAACAGAAAAGTCTTCCACAATCAAATCTACCTTGGAATCTACCACAGGAGCATCAACAGAAAAGTCTACAACACCCGAATCTACCTTGAAATCTACTACAGGAATATCAACAGAAAAGTATTCCACAACCAAATCTACCTTAGAAGCTACTACAGGAACATCAACAGAAAAGTCTACAACACCCGAATCTACCTTGAAATCTACTACAGGAACATCAACAGAAAAGTCTTCCACAATCAAATCTACCTTGGAATCTACTACAGGAATATCAACAGAAAAGTCTTCCTCAACCAAATCTACCTTAGAAGCTACTACAGAAACATCAACAGAAAAGTCTACAACACCAAAATCTACCTTAACATCTACAACAGGAACTACCAAATCTTCAATAAAAACTAATACAGAGAAATCAACAGGAAAGGCTACATCATCTATCGCACCAACTTCCACAAAGTCATCGACTAAATTAACTTTAAAATCGACAACTGAAATTAAAACAAAAACTTTCAAAGCTACATCTCGAACATCACAAAGGCCTGAGAAAACAAAAAAAGCCACAATGCAACCAAAAACAACACGACCTACTATTGTCCAAAAAGTTACGCAATCCAAAGGCGGTAAAAAAAAGTAAGTCAATAAAATGGAGTACTTTGATTCTTATTTAACCGATTTATCTTGTAAAATATTTAGAGTTACACTTCCGTATTACCCAAAACATACCAACCTTCCCACACCGCCAAGGCCAGTGAGCAAACCCGAAGTTAAGAAGAGTAGAGTTAGGAAAATGGCCAAAAGCTTTTTGGGAAGATCGAAAAATAGCAGAATTGGAAAAAGTTGTTTTGAAACAGCGTTAAATTCAATCTTAAGTGTAATTATTGAGTTTGTTGAAGCTTATCGAAACTGTTATTACCCAGAAAAAATTAACGCTCTTATTAAATTACTAAACAAGTGTATGCGATTAATCCAAAAACCCCTAAATGCATGTAAGTCAATCTTTGGACCGATAAAAGACAAGGCTTGCGCTGCTATATTCGTACCCACTCTTTTTGATCTAACAAAAGAGATAGTGGATGTAGCTCCAGAAATTAGTGCCCGAGACTTTAAGCTAAAAACCAAGTGCTTAAAGCAGAATGTAATTAGTATTGGGTGTGCCGTACTAGTTTTGATTGGGGATATTACTTACTGTTCCATCAAGGCACTAAAACCATTTTAAAAGGTAACTTGCATTTATATCAACAAGAAATTGCAATGTTAACTGCTCTTCAAGAAACTTTCCTATTATTGCAGTTCCTAAAACGGAAGACCTAATTTTCTTTAAATTGAATGGATTACGAAGCATATTTTCACGCACAAGAAGGACTCGATTGCTTTCCCGTTCCCGCTTTTCAACTTAAATGCGATGCCCCTCAACCTATAAATAGGAATACTTACATGTGTATCGATGTTTCTTTCGCAGATACCTCTATATATATACAATATTTCAAACCAGAACCTGTCCTTTTTGCAGCAACCACCCATCAGTTAACGACCTACTCCCCACTTGCAAATTAATAAAAGCTAAAACACAAAAAACATTTAAAAAACTTACCCTTACAAATTTTGCACTATCAATAAAGTAACATTTTATCCAATTACTGGAAAGCAAAAATATAAATATATATTAATTCTATCTACGCCAAACTTCTAAATGTAGGTAAAATAAAAATTAAAAAAAACTACTTTGCTTAAAAACTTAGAGGCGGACATGTCTATATAGACTCGCGTAGTGACGCTTATCCAAAATAATAGGGGATGAAGAAATGTCACCTTCTGTAACTGCCTCCAATTTTCTAACACGAAGTATTATTACTTCATAATCTGAACATCTTTCTATAGTAGCGTTTAATTGTTTCGATTTATTGTGGGGCCTAATCAGATGGCACTGACTCGATTGTGCTGCACTCTTTTAGCTCTTCTGGCTTACTATGTCTATCCTCAATTATTTGAGTTTGCTGCACAGATTCAGGTTGCGATTCTGTATTCTCTTTACTGTCACTAAACGGTTTCTTCTGAGGTCGGATGAAGAGATCAAGGCCAGCAAAGGGTGCTTCGATGATCAGGTAGAGTGCGTAGGAAAGCAGCACGGTGATCCCCATATCTGACCAGAAACCAAGCATCTGCGGGGAAGGTTTAAAGGTCATAACCAAGCTGTATATCAGAGGATCACAACTTACCATTTGGTAGTCCGAGTAATATGAGTTCGTCCTGACACTTCTTTTGTTTACCTCCTGGACGAAGACGTGCCAAATGTAGACGGAGTACAGAGTCGCGACAGAGGCTGCCAGAGGGGGAGAGGACAGGAAGCTGTTGGCCAGACCCCCGTAGCCCTGCATGCAGGCGAAGATCACCCAGCAGATGGCCAATGGCCACCCCAGCCGGGTGAAGGTGTAGTAGGAGGCCTCTTCCAGGGTGGACAGCGCAGGGGTGGACCAATCGGCGGCGGGATACAGTACGAATATGGAGGTGAACATCATGGCCAGGCAGAGGATCCATCCGGACCACACGGCCACCCAGCTCAGTCGAAACTTCCTGCCCTGATTGATGTACAGGAAGTAGCCGAATATAAATCCAGTGAGCCAAGGTGTACAACGGTAGTGCGTCGAGCTAAACAACTTTAGGGCTTCGGCACTGGTGCTTCTACAAGTCGAATATCAAGTAAAGGCTTAAATATCATAAGAAATCTATGGACTCGCGTGACATTTATTATGTGACGAAACTTACTTCAACAGCGTTGAGTAATGGTTGACCATCATGGATCCAAAGAGTAAGCCAGCAAATAGGGCTATGACAACGATTATGCCTGCAGCTGCCTTATTGCCCCATTTATAGAGGCAGATCAGAAGAATTGGAGAGAGGATGAAGAGCTGCATGTCTGCGGCTAGATACCAGGTGTGACCAAGACACTAAAAAGTTGCATAATGACCGTAAGGTATTCTAGATAGCCAGTTTCAACTCACCCTTTCATAAAAGTAATTATTTACGAACAGCATTGTACGATACCATCCATTCTCACACACTGTTTTGCCACTGAATCCGCCCTTGAAAAGGGGACCATCTGCCACGAGACCCATGAGTTTCGTATAGATCAGAATCGACATGGCCAGAAGGGGAACTATTCGGATCAGGCGATGGAGATACATCAGCGGCACATTAAGTTTACCCTTGGATCTGTAGAGGGATCAAAGAACATTTTTTAATTGTCCCGTGCTAAAAAATTAAGATCTACTTGTCCATGGAGCGCAGCGTAACCAAAGCCACCAATAAACCACCGATAACGAAAAACGAATCCACCGTGAAATAGCCGTGCACATAAAAACTAGCGAAAGGAGACTCTACCCACTAAAACCAAAGAAATACAGTTTTAAATCAGCTTCAGCTGAAAATATTTACGCACCCGAGTGACGTGGAAAAAGTTCAGATATGCCGATGATATTGTATATCCATGTCCATGACAGTAAACCACCCAAAAGAGGGACATGCAGCGAATCCCATGAAGGCAGTCGATGACATTCGGGTTGGAATTGGTCTCCACGAGGCGGAAAAGAGCTCGCGAGTTGACCCTGGCTGAAAAGACCTTAACAAACGTAGGAAGTTGACCTAGAAAATGAGGGTTATTAGGGAATTCAATAATCCATACTAAACTGACTAACTCACTTTGATTCTTGCACACGAAATAATCGTAGAGCGTGCAGAGAGCCACAATAGAGCCCATTAGTGATAGGAACACTCTGTAATCGAAAGGGTTAGTCAACTTTGATGGGTACAATTACTAGGGCACTTACATGGTAAATATGGTTAGTCCATCCCAGGGCTCGCTTTCACTTGTCTGGCAGCTGCTATCGCTGATACTCATCACTGTGCTGGGGACACTCACGTTGAGTAGGCGCTGACTCATCTGACTCAGGAACTTGTTCATGTGAGTGGCCGAACAGGAGGCGGGAAAGCAGGTTGCCGTTCTGAGCTTCCAAAATGCTGCTGCTGCACTGTCTAGTCCTATCATTTTACTGGGGGTAGTCTCCAGAAAGCAGTACTTTCCACGGATGCTGTCCTTTTCGATGTTGAGACACTCGTCGAAGTTTCCCAAGCTGTATTGGTTGCCAGTTAGAATGCCAGAGGGAATGAATCCCCACGCGTCGATCACTGAAGGATAGAGATCATTTACAAATACCAATCAATTTGACTTAATTTTTTTACTCACTTTTCAAGGCCCAATATTCCCCAGAACTAAGGCCCAAAGTAAGCTCAGTCAAATGCTTGAGACACAAGAGATCCTGCTGAGTGGGCAATCTGGGGTCCAGAAGTCCCAAGTCATTAAGGGTTACATTTTTAAAGTACTCTGCAAACTCAGTTCCCAAAGGCTTAAGATTTCTGACAGGCAGGACATCTCCTTCCTTTGGCTGCGAGGCTCTTATTAGGACGAGCCCACTAAGAAAAATAAATCCGACTAAGTTACCCATTTTTTAAATCGTAATGACTGCTTCTGTCAGCTGATGGAAGACTTTATAGGCGAATTATCAAGCTACAATCTTTAATAGCGATAAAACAAATAACAAATCAACATATTAAGCTTCTAGGTCGCACAACAGTGAATTCTGCCGAAGGACTCTGATAGAATTACAAGAATACCGACGACCTGTTCTATAGTGAAGAGTCATTATCAAAGTGATTTCGGGTTGTTCTTGTGAAAACATATTCAAATGTGCGATAAGACTGGGGATTATGAAGACTGGCAGACCATCTGGGCGCACTCGGCAGAACGCTCTTATCAGGGATCTATACTCGGAAGTTACTGATATTATATTGAGCTTTAAGTGTTTACTTAAAAAAACAATTTATTTACCACCTAAGGTAGAATAGTCAATAAAAGTATCATAAAACTTCTTGCTTGCCGATTTCAAGTATGCTGTATATTTATGGAACTAAAACTAATCGACAAGTAGATAATGTAATCAGAAAGTTAATTATAAACAATTTAATTTCAATAAAAATGCCTGATAAGCAGAGCTTGCAAATAACTGTCAACCGATTTTCCTGAGGCAGTTTAATCTCGACAAAACCGAAAAAAATGTTGCTCACAAACTCTCTCTCTGAGCGGAACCCTTTTTTAGTTTTGCTTGTCGGTTTCGGTCCGACCGTTCGGCTCAACCGAACAAAGCAATCGGTCTTTCAATAACCACTCGGTGAGACCCTTTTAAGTTAACAGTCACCTAAAAGGGTTTCTGAAAAAATGGGTTTTCTCTAGAAAGGAAAAAGTATAGGCCTGCTGTGATATGTGCATAAATTTTACATAGGAAATCAAGATAATTCTAAAATTGCATTGTACATATAAATGTATATAAAATTGTATTCTGAATTCTGTTTGCTTCAATATATTAATTGACTATATAAGGAACTATCTTTAATAAGAAATGCCATAAAGAAACGAATTACCTTTCAAATGAGCTATACCGAAATGAATAAATGAGAACTACCATAAGTCTTAAGATAAAAAATGGCTCAAAGTATTCCAACTAAGCCTATTCCTACAAAATGGATCGCACGTTCCTTCAAATCTTTCGAAATATTTTGAATAAAACTGAATAATGTTGTGAAGATATTCTTAAATAGTTAGGAATTGATTTAAAGCTACATAAACAAAATTTGAAACTGCTAAAGGAGGTTTAACCTGTTAAAAAGCTCTAATTTTTCTTGCAGCTTAAAAGATTCGCTTCTTATTACGTGGATTTGGTTATTAATTACTACATAAGAAAGATATGCCAAAAGTGGAGTTTTGGAATCGTAAATTATTTAAAATATGTAGAATATTGGAATTTAATGGTAAATGGGCTAATCTTACAGATTAAGCTTTAGAAAATACACATTACGTATTTTCCCTTACCCTTTGAATTTTAATAATCAAAAAGCAATGTTACGTCTGAAGCAT